CTTCAGGTACCGGAGCACCAAACTGCAGACTGTATGTGATTTCTTTTTGCCTTCTAGGGTTTTTGTTTGTTTGTTTGTTTGTTTGGTACCCAAGGCATGTCAGGAAATACTTTGGTGATCCAGGTCCCAAGCAGAATTTCACATGTCTCTGGTCAACGCTCTACTCCTTCACAAAATTTCCCTCTCCATTCGCTTAGGACCCACAACTGTGTTACTCTACCCATCTCTGGTCTTTCCCTCTTGCATAGTCTGAAGGAATCTGTTTGGTTATTGAAAGTCTCTGGTCTCAGAAGCAAAATAATAACCCACGGTAGGTTAAGTCCTTTTGGAGTTTGCAGAAGTACTGCTCCATCCACTGGCCAGCTTATTTGCAGCACAGGAGCTGCTTCTACAAATTTTCTCAGGCCTCTGACCTTTTGAGTATTAATAATCCCCCTTAGCCAAAAAGGAAGGCAGGTGGGAATTAATAATAGCCACCACTCATTGAGTACCTGCTGTGTACCCTGCCTGAGCTGGGTTGCTTGTATACAATATGCATTTCCCTTAATCATTATCACTCTGCAAGGTGCTAAGGAGCCAGGTTACAAGTGAGGAAACTGAGGAATCAAAAGCCCAAATAAACTGTTGGGTTCATGTAGTTCGACATGCCCATTCTGGGAAATATCTGATCCTTCAGAATAGAATGGGGGGGGGGGTGCCTGCCATGGACTCTGTATCTCCTGCCAGAATCACTCTGGTGGCCCAGCTTTGGAGCCCAAGGCACTCACCCACCGGCCCACTCTGCATTGGCGTTGCCCAGTTACTGCTCTCCTGGTCTTGCCTCCTGAAGGAAGGATCAAGTGTGGCCCTGACCCTGCCTTCCCTGAGGAGGAGGCAGGTGGGGGAGGCTCTCATTAGATCACAGTTAACCAAGCCCTGACCCTGAACTCCCTGGTACGCGCCTGCCAAGTTTCTGTTTCTTTGTTGGAGCAATATCACTTTCACCTTCGTTTACTCCTGGCCCAGGGAAGGGGTACCCTGGAGCCTTGGTCTGGGCAGTGTGTGGGAGGTCAGGTTAGGGTGGGGAGGTGAAGAGCGTGTGGCAGTGAGGAGCCTGGTTGTGGTTAGCAGGAGGTCTTGAGGAAGATCTAGGTCCCAACCCCAGCTCTGTTGCTTTCTTGCTGTGACTCTGGATCCACAGCCCCACCAAGCCTCAGGTAGAGCCCCTCACAAAACGGCTGGACCAACTCAGTGAGCTCAGGTGTAGAGGGAGCCGAGTAGGGTGCCAGGCACGTGGTGGACACTCCATGCTTTTCCTGGGGTGACAGAAGCTGTTGGACTTTGAATAGGGTTGGTGACCTTTTCCTAGTTTCTTGCCACAGTCTGAAAACTATATGGGGAGCACAACCAAAGTGACAGCTGTTGCCCATGGATTTGCTGAGACCCTCGGCGCAGCCAGGACTCTTGACAGGGAGGAAGACAGCTCCAGCCTGGGAGCTGGGAGACCCACTTCCAAGTCCCGCTCTGCTGCCAGCTGCTTATGGGACCTTGGCAAAGTCCCTTGTCCCAATCTGTTGGAGAGGTCATAAAATGAGACGGTTGGGCTCCACAGCCTCAGATACTTTCTGCTGGCAGGTGGTAGTTGCTATAAAGTGAGAGGTACCTGCCTTCCCCCATCTTCTTTTCCCTGGATGGCTTGGGAAAGAATACAGGACCCTGACTCCCCAGGTACCAATGCAGGTGCCCAGCAGCCGCAGGGCCAGCCACCGGCCGTTGTAAGCTGGTGATTCTGTTGTGCATCTGTGAAAAGACAAAGATGCAGAGAGGCCGGGGGCCCCACAGAGGGTGCCTGTGCATGCACACACACGTGAACACGCGTGCCTGGGCAGGGGTGGGGTGAGCTGAGGAGAACAGACCATCCTTAGCCAGGAGCAGGGCGGGGTCCCTCTCTGGTCAGGATTGGGCCTGGCTGCTGGGTGGCCTGGCTCTTCAAAGCCACCCCAGACTGAATGGGCCTTGTCTGAAAGGAGGGAGGTGGTGGGGGAGGGCTGTTGGTGCCTTCCCAGCTGCCACAAAAAGAGGGACAGTTACCCACAATCCCATGGGGCTTGGTTCCGGCTTGTCCTAAATGACCCCTGCTCACTTGGGAGTTTCCCTCTTGGTAGGCAGAGAAGGGGCAGAGAGGGGCCCCCAGAGCTCAAGGAGGACTGAATTCCTTGTGTCCTTGGTCAGACCACTTCACGTGCTCTTACTTACTGAGGAGGGACGCCTCCTAGGCTCCTCCAATGCAGCTGATCTGTCCTGTCAGAGCCCAGGAACCAGGTCTGGGCCTGGCCATGCCACTGGTCCCCAGTGTGACCTTGGACTAACTCCATCTTCTGGGAACCTGCTATTGAAACGAAGGGTTAGGGGTGGCCAGTTGCCCGCCAGGAGGGCTCACCAGGGAGGAAGCTTGGTTTCAGCCTGTTTGGGGGCTGTCTTGGCTGCCAGATCTTCACACCTGCTGTCATCTTCAGTGGAGGATGGAGGAATTCTTAGCAGCCAGTCAGCATGTTGGTCCCATGGGTGGTTTTGAAACACTCCATAGCGTTTTCACATACTAAAGGAAAGGCCTAGTGCATAAACAGCATTCCATGGCTCCTGGTGACCAGGGAGCAGGACAGGTCTCTGGACTGGAGACTGCAGGAATCCCGGCCCCATTGTTGGAATCTCACTTCTGCCCTGCAGACTTGGAACTCTGACACCCCACAGCAGGCTGGTTTTCAGGCCAGGTCAACAAGTGGCCAACCGTCTTTGTCCCTGCTGGATTTGACGCACACATGTGTTCACACATGACCAGGGCTCATGTGTGAACACATGTGTTCCTGTGTATGTGGTTAAAAGCCCAGGAGACTCACGCCTGGCTTCTGGTTCAGCATGGCCACTTTCTGCCTGTGTGGCCTTAGACAAGTGACTACTTTTCATAGCCCTCATTTCCATCTCCGCAGAAAGGTCTACTAAGAGGGCCAACATCATGTCAAGTGCTTCGTTCTAAAACCGGACCCGGTAGACCGTGGAGGCCGCGCTGTTTCAGATCTGAGCCCCAGGGCATTTGCAGGAGCGGGAGCCGGAGAGGCGGAACCGCCCTAGGTGCAGCCCTTACGCAACCCTGTGGAGCCTTTCCCTGCGCTGCCAAACCGAAGCCACAGGCGCAGGCCGGGAGTGCGGGGGCTGGAATTCCAGCGCCAGCAGCTCAGCAGCTCCTGATTCCCGAGTCGTGAGGTCATCCCTAGCCGGGGCTTAACCCCTTCGGACTCCCAGCCCACGGGTGCCGTCCCAGCGGAGGCTCCCCACCCGGGGAGCGAGGGATGCTGTCCCTGCCTTCTTCCCGCCTGACCCCGCTGCCTTCCGGGAACCCAGCCTCCTGCCCCGCGCGGGTGGAGGAGGGCGCAGATTCCGCGCCTCTCCCCGGAAGCCCGCGGGAGGGTGAAGAGGAGGCTGGTTTCCGAAGAGGCTTTCCTAGACCTCTGCTGCTGTCCAGCTGTGTCCTGGGAACCCAACTGGAGGAAGTTCCTTCTCAGAATCCCTGCTGTGCCCCTGGCAGCCTCAGCTAGGCACAGGGCAGTTAGAGGGCTCTGGCGCCTTTCTACCCTGAGCTGTGTTGCTAACACCGTGCCACCTTGGCCAAGTCACTATCCTGTTCTGTTCTCAAATTCTGGGAAAAGGGAGCGGGACTTACCGGGGTGTTTGGCTTATATTCTGTGGTTCTAAGCAGACCCCTCCCCTGCCTCCTGCAGTTATGGGGTCCTTGCCCCCCTGGACCTTGGGTACTTTCCCTTTGAAAGCTGCTTGGTAGGGGTGGCCCTCAGACTGCTATGACCAGGGGTCTCCATGGGGTGGGATGCTGGATTGGATGGTCTGTGGGGGCAGGGACTGTGCCTCCCTATGCCCTGCACAGTGCTGGCAGCAGAACAGCTTGGTGGGAGATGTTTAGAAATCAAGGCTGAATTCAGGAGCCTGCGCTTGAGTCACCAGCTGAGCAACACTCTGACCTGAGAGGTCTTGGTGTGAGTGAGCCTGTCCCAGCCAGCTTGACTCAGCTGGGAAAGGTGTCCCCGATTGGGCAAGATCAGAGCCAGGAGTCCACTCCCTGCCATGTGTGAATCAGCTGCCACTGCCTCACAGGACCCTGCAGCATGGCACCCCCAGGCTGGGGCTGCCATTGCACACGGGACCCGCTGAGTCTGAAACCAGGCAGCCCCATCCTGTCTCCTCTTCCTGCCAACTCTGTCACCAAAAGAAAATAATTTATGAAGTCTTTAATACCCAGTCTCCTTGGTTGTAAAATAAGTTAACAACATGCCATCAGAATTATTAAAAACCGGGCTGGCACTTAGCAAGTGCTCAGTAAAGGGTACCTAATAATAATGACTTCATTATTACCACTTTTATCATTTTTATTAACAGAATGGGAAAGAGACTTACCTAAGATCACACAGCAAGTAGGAGACAGAGTATGATCTAGGACCTGGGTCTCCAGACCCTGGCTCTGTCCCCTGCTGGCACCTGAATGCCCACTTTACTTATTTTTTACTTTTGGTACTGGGATTGAACTGGGAGGGCACTTTGACACTGGATATACTTCCAGCCCTTTTTATTTTTTAATTTTATTTATTTTTCTTCATTTATTGTCTTCAATGTGTTACTGAATCCACCCCAGGGGCAGATTTTGCACACACACACACGTGTGTGTGTGTGTATTTTTAATGTGGTGCTGGGTATTGGAACCCAGGGCCTTGTGCATGCGAGACCAGCACTCTACCAACTGAGCTATATCTCCAGCCCCTTTATTTTTTATTTTGAGACGGGGTCTCACTAAGTTGCTGAGGCTGGCTTCAAACTTGCCATCCTCCCGAGTGGCTGGAGTCACAGCCTGCGCTACCCGGCCTGATTTCGGGTTCCTGGTAGCCAGCGCTTGAATAAAAATAGTGTTGTAGATCACTGGGGACCACTGGCTGAGGCTTCTCCTTTCTTCATCCTAGATCCGAGAAACTGAGGTCATCGACCCCCAGGACCTCCTGGAAGGCCAATACTTCTCTGGAGACCTACCTGATGATGAGGACGTTGGGGGGCCTGGGCAGGAACCTGGTGACTTTGAGCTGTCCGGCTCTGGAGATCTGGGTATGGAGGACATGCTGGGCAAGCTTGGGTCACAGGGCTGGAGGGAACGGTAGGTAGCCCAGCCAATGAGAAGTAGACCGTGGAGCCTGGGGTTTTTCCACAGTGCTCCTCTTCCTCCTCAAAAGGAGAAACAAGTAACTGTACTAGCCTTTTCTATCCCTGAGACCTTCTGAGGCAAGTGGTGTGTTGCTCTGAATTCACGGTAGCTTTGTGTTTTCAGGCACTAGTCTGAACCTGTCCCGTAGGCTCCTCCCTGTGGCCAAGGGTGGGGCAGGGTGGGGGAAGAAGGATCCTTGTGGTGTTCTTCCTTTGGAAAGGAGAGTACTAGCTGAGAAATGGAGGTGGGGTGGGAGGGGCATGTGTGGACACAGGCTTCCTGGGACCATACCAGGGGCCATGCCCTTCATGGTCTTGTCCTGGCCCTGACCTCCAGGGTGGACCACTGCTGAGAATCATCCCTCTTATGTTCAGGGACATGTCAGTATTCCAAGTTTGAAGTCACATAGTCCTGACTTCAAACCTTGACTCTCTGTCACCTCTGAGTCTTGGTTTCCTATTCTGTAAAATGGGAATAATAATGACCGTACATCAGTGTTGTGGAACCGAACTGAGTTAGAGCTCTTGGCATGGACCAAGCACCCAGGTGACTGTGTGTTTGTTGTAGATTTACAACAAGGTATACAACAAGGTGTTATGGGATACATACACATAGTGAAAGGTTCTGTAGTGAAATATCCATCTTCTCAGTACATGTTTTAAGGTGCAATATATGGTATTTAATATTACAATTAGTCTTCTTTCTTACACTTTAATTCCCAGGGGTCTTGTTCAAATGCAGATTCTGATTCAGTCAGCCCTGAAATTCTGCACTTCTAGCCAGCTCCCAGGAGTTGCTGCTGGTCGCTTGTTCTGAACAAGGGTTTGGAGCTGACTGGCTCTGCCTGGCTACCTAGCCACCAGCACACTGTAAGAGAGCCAGGGAGGCAGGTCTCAGGAGTTCCGTTTTTCAGACTAGGTGACTGAGATTGAGGTGACCAAGCTCACTTGCTGGGCCTGGAGATTTAGGGGCTGTGATTGTAAGTTAGGACTCCCACCAGCCATTGCCTCAGGGATCACTTACTTGGGGGAAGCGGACATTGTGCTCATAGAGCTATTCTGACCTTACAGATGACTTGGGGGACCCCAGGATCTTCCCTGAAGTGATCCATCCCTTGGTAAGTGCTGCAGCCTTGGCGCCCACCCCTGTCACACACCCACTGAGGGGCAGAAAGCAGCTCCCAGGGGCCTGACTCCTTTCTGCAAGAAGCCTTTTCATCTGGGGTCCTGGGCTTATTTTGGGACAGGCACAACTGTGGGTCACCGGAAGGCCCCACGCTGCCTGCGGGGGTAGTCCTGTCCACGCCAGCTCCTTTTCCATCACTCAGAGCTGTTCTCAACTGTTTCCAAGTAGCACACACAGTTCTGTCTACTCCATTTGTCACCACAGTGGCCCTGAATGTTTCCCCTGTGTAATCAACTATTCTCGTCACTTTTACAGGCTGCATAATAGTTCACTTGGTTTTGCTTACTGATGGAAAAACTGCGTATAATTTTCTAATATCCTAAAATTAAAACACTGTGGTAAGCTCTTTAGGATAGAGCCTCAGAGGCAAAATGGCTGCCTTAAAGGGCAACTGATTTCTAGGGTTTTACCACACTGCCTCCAGAGTGGCCACTCCAGAACACCCACCTATCAACAGGTGTGGGAACATCCATCTCCCACCTCCCTTTTCTCTTGGTCAGGTTCATATCCCATTTGGGTCAGATGTACTAGAAAAGTCCAAGGTAAGGGTTTGAGCAGCATGATTTTGAGAGGTGGTTGTGAGGTCCTATTCCAGGACCACATGGTTCAGCCCAGATTCTCCACCTGGCTTCATGTCCCAACCCTGGTTGGGTTCCTCCACAAGCTCACTGAATTTTTGTTTATCTTTCTTTCTTTCCCCCACATTCAGGTGCCTCTAGATAACCACATCCCTGAGCGGGCAGGGCCTGGGAACCGGGCCCCCTCTGAAACTAAGGAGCTAGAAGAGAACGAAGTCATCCCCAAGAGGAGCTCGCCCTTTGAGGAGGATGTGTCCAATAAGGTGTCCATGTCCAGCACTGCCCAGAGCAGCAACATCTTTGAGAGAACCGAGGTCCTGATAGGTAAGTCCCCTGATAGGTAAGGCCCCGGCGGCTCTTCCTGACATGCCTTGAAGGACAGAGGGCCTGTAGGCAGGGACGCCTCCAGGCCCTTCAGCTTGCCCTGGGGGTTGAAGAACTTTAACCCCTGCAGCCTGGTGGGGGATTTGAGGAATTGCATACCAAAGTCTTCTAAAGAATAGGCCTTGTGGGCTGGGATAGAGGCACTGGGTTCCATCCTCAGCACCACATAAAAATAAAAGATATTGTGTCCACCTATAACTCAAAAATAAATACTAAAAAAAAAAAAAAAAAGAATAGGCCTTGTGACTTCCCCTGTCTCTACGCCCCTCTGGGGTATTTTTCAAAGCTCTTTCACAGCCTGGGTGTGGCATCTGGGAGTTAATCATTAAGTTCCCTTGAAAGTCTGAGATTCCTTAGGACTGGGTTGGCTTCCCTTTCCCCTGCTCTCTGGTTTAGCACCTTGTGACCTTGCTGAGAAGCTTTTTGAACAGAATGAACCCCCACTTTTCTCATCTGTAAAATGGATATGATGATTACTCCTTGAGTTTGTGTGACATCACTGAATCTTCATTGTCCCCTCAGAAAGTGAGGCATAGGATATCTTCATGTGACAGAACAGGACACTGAGACCAAGAGAGGTTAAATATTTGGTTGCAAATGACACCTCTTTTGACTGCAACATGCTGGTGTGGCTAAGCTCTGTCCCAGGGAAAGGGACCATTGAGTCTTCCATATTCCAAACTGTTTTGTGGGAATGTTTTGGAGGTTCAGCCCAGATTCTCCCCCTGGCTGAACTTGAGATCCTCCTACCCTGACTCCCTGGTAGCCAGGATTGTAAGTGTGCCTCACCAGCCCAGCACATTTACAGATTCTAGATCTGTTGATTAGGTTTTGCTTAGAGCAACTAAAGGTGCTACTGTTTCTAAAGGAAAACATAAAAGTCAGGGATCTAGTCCAAGCCCCGTTTCTTATTCATGGAGAGACAGGCCCAGGCTTTGGGGCACAAGGCAAGAGAAGAACTGAAGCCAGCTGTTGGCTCTTCCATTTGAGCATTAGCCAGTATTCTCCTATTCTGTAAACCTCGGGGATTTATCTCTCTGTGTCCCCAACACCCTGAACTGGGCCTGCTTAATAAATGGCGTATGTGGGATCCTCCATTCTAGTAGTTTAAAACAGTCCCCAGGGGCTTTAAGTGTTTGCTGTATGCCATGTGATTCCTGTGCCCCTGAGGGAGTCCCTCCAACAATCTGAAAGTCACAAAGCCAGAAAGAGTGGAGCTGGTGTTTGGACCTAGGAGCACAGTTGACTTCTGAGCCTGTGCTTGGACCTTGACCCTGTGGGGAGGAGTCTCAGTGGGCTTTTCCAGGGGGAGGTGATAGAATTGGGAATGGGGTGGCTGCCTCATGTTCCATGTGCTCTTTCTGGCACCTGGGGGGGGGTGCTTCTTTGCTGCTTTTTATGGCATTTTGGTCAAGATGGAACCTCCTGTGGCTCCTGTGCTGCTCCATCCCATTCTGTGCCCAGATCAGTAGGGTGTGCAGTGATGGAAAATTAATCTTCTTAGCCCAAGTAAGACTGAATTAGTGGACTCAATCTGCCACAGAAAGGCTTCTGTGAGCCATCCCTACCCCTAACAAACAGGAATGAGTCATTCAGGCCACCTGGCGTGGTGGACAGAACAGATGCTCACCTCTGCCTGACACTGGCCAGGCGCTCCTCGCTGAGCCTAACTGTGAGCGCCATTTATTAAGCAGGCCCAGTTCAGGGTGTTGGGGACACAGAGAGATAAATCCCCGAGGTTTACAGTTCCTGAGCCTTGAGCATATGCTCTGCCCTAGGCACTGTTCTAAGCCACTAGATAATTTATTTAATCTTTAAGGCAAATCTGTTCTGCAATGAAAGAGACTAAGCCACTTGCCTGGAATCACACAGTTAGTAGGCGGAAGCGGAAACTGCCCAAGCCCTGGGCCCTGTGGACCTGCACCACAGTAGGCGATTAGCTGTGACACCCCGGGGTGGACACTGGTGGTTCCACATGGTGTACAGTGTCTGCCCACATACACCTGAGCAGGCCTAGGCAGGTGGACCCGTGGGCGCTCAGGGGAGCTCCAGAGTTCCCTGCGGATGTGCGGAGGGTTTCTGCAGCTCACGTTGGTCTTCTCCTGGCTGTTGCTGGGGAGTCTGCCCGGATGACTTCGCCATTTGAATCTGAAGGTCTTCAGTGGCTTGCAATGCCTAGTGTCCCTTGTTATAACTGGGGTCGTGAGGGTCAGCTTAATGAGGCGTTCAGCTCACCTGGCCCAGGCCGTGGGAAGTGCCCGTGGTGCAGGGGGCCGGCTGAGCAGCTCTCACTGGCTCCCATCTCTCCTGCTGTGCAGCGCTGACTGTGGGCGGCATCGTGGGCATCCTGTTCGCCGTGTTCCTGGTCCTGCTGCTGGTGTACCGCATGAAGAAGAAGGACGAAGGCAGCTACGACCTGGGCAAGAAGCCCATCTACAAAAAGGCCCCCACCAACGAGTTCTACGCCTGAAGCTTCCCGCGGCCACCGGCCTGGACTTGCGGGGGAAGGGAGCCGAAGGATTGTGGACGGTGGGCGTTAGAGTAGGGGAGGCACCTGGACACCTCCCTGTCCCTATCTCCAGCTCTGACCCCGGCCCTGGGTCAGAAGCGACATCATCTTCTACGCGCTGCCTAGCTCTCCTTGGTTCTTTGGGCCAAGGTTGCCCCTGAAGGAAAGTGGGGGTTACGTGTGGCCTTTCTGAAGCAAGCCTGGGATTGCGTCATTTCTTTAAATTTCCAGATTAGAATCTAGGACCAGTTTCGAGCCTGTTCTGAACATGCCTCATCAGAGGCCCCTGGAGCCAGGGACGAAGGGGTATTTATTGTGGGGGGTCCTGCCTGGAGGTCTGCCCTGGCTGCCTCCTCCCCTTTCACAGCCCATCCCTCTGCTGGGACTCGGGAGGAAGAACCAGAGCCCCCAGCACCCCCAAGAGTGTCCACCCATGGGTCCTTGCAGTGGACCGTGGGAGTGTTTGTGGTCCACCTGGGGCCATCCTGGGCTCTTTCAAGCGACTTGTGGAAATCCACCTTCTTTCATTTGGCCAGGGAGGGTGGGAGAAGTCCTGAACGTGCACCCTGAAGTGGATCTGCAGAGTATTTGTAAGGCATCTTTAGGGCGTTTTTGTTGTTATTATTATTTTTTTTAAAACAGTTCATTCCTTTGTGCAGAGCGTGTCCTCCTGGGCAGGAGTGCGGAGATGTGAGGATGTTCTTAACCCCCACATTTCACAGCACCTGCTAAGTTTGTATTTAATGGATTTTATGTTTGTTTGTTTCTTGAAAACAAGAGAAGAGCCAGAGATGTGATTTTTATTAACTTTTTTTTTTATTATTTATAGCTTCATACAGGGCCTCTCCCCCCACCCTTTTTTTTTCTTTAAAAACCCCCTCCCCATTTAAACAACTTCCTGCTCCCCTGCCCATGACCTTGGCCCTTTCTGAAGCTGCTTCATCTAAGAAGTAACTTTTGCTGAAACATAGTTTTATAGCAGATTCCAAAATATAATATAGGGATGGTGTGGTATTTGTGTCTGTGTTCCTGTAATGTATTATTGTTTGCCCTTGGTTTTAGAAAAATGGATAAATATATTTTTTCAGGATATAGTGTGATATTTAGTTTCCCGTTGGCCGGGTGGCTGCGCGAGCGGGTTTCTGCCTTTCTCTTGCCCTGTTCCTGGTGCCTTCCGACCAGGCTGGGATGGTGGAGGGCAGGTGATCCCCACCTTTCTGCCTTCGCTCGGGGCCTAGCCCAAGCTCTAGGGTTTGCGTTCTCCAGGCTCCAGGGCTGTGCGAGACGATACAGTAACCACAGGTGGCTGTTTAAATTAGGTCAGTTCAAATCATGTAAAGTTAGAAATTCATCTGTCAGTTGCACTAATCACATCTTGACCATCCAGTCACCACATGGGACTCCTGGCTATGGTACTGACCCTGCAGAGAGCGAGCCCTTCCATCTCTGGGGTGCCACATGCTGCTCTAGAGAGCTGTACTGGCTTGGTGAGTTAGTGCCCAGCTTGGCTAGGATGACCCTTGTCTCCCTGGGCAAGGGGGAGGGACAGGGAGGAAGGCCCACGGGCCCAGCGGGGTCTGTTATCTGGGGCTCTCCCTCTTAAAGAGGAGAGTCCAGGTGGCTTAGCCCAGGTAGGGGTTTCTTCTGACCCCACTGGCTGGGGTGGGGAGAATCGCCCTCCCTGGCTGTGCCCTGTGGCTGTTCCCTGCCGTCTCCACCCCAACCCAGGGTCCCAGCCGGCTGGGTCCCCTTCTAGCCTCAGGGCCCTTTCCTCTTGCTGTGTTGGAGTGAGCCCGTTTTTCTGCAGCCTGCCCCCTCTTGTCCCCTACACACTGTTGTCTGTTACTGATTTTTTTGATAAAAAGATAATAAAGCCTGGTACTTTCTAGATTGCCTGCCTCTGTCATTTTAATGTCAGTCCCAAGTCATTCTTGTGCTCTGTACCTGTTGAACTCAGTGGAGCCTGAGAACCCGCACCCCGCCCCGGCCCATGCCAGGCACCAGGGAGAGGTGGGGAGGGAGGACTCCAGGGCAGGGGTGAGCTCAGCTTCTCGCTGCTGGGTGTTTGTCTGGGTGGTGCAAATCAGTCTCTTTCTCCAGATTCCTCCTTTTCTTTGGGGGGAAAAAAAATGTGTAATGGCAGAGGTCAGCCTGCATGGCAACGACCAGGTGCTGTGCTGCTGGGAAGGGCCACCTGCTAGATCTGGGCTCTGCTCTAGTTGGAAGCCTCTGGAAATACCACTGACAACCTCTGAGATCCTCAGGACAACCCTCTGAGGTGGTGAGAACCTTTTTACCAAGGGATAGTCTGCCCTTAGCTTGTCATGCAGAGTTGAACCTTAATTCCAAGTCCTTGGACACTGGTGATTCTTTTCCCTTGACACTATGCTGCTTGGTTGGGTAGGGGAGGACACCAAGAGGAACTGGTAGTCGTCATGGCAAATTCAACAGCACACATACCATGTGCCCGGAGCCTTGCTTTACACTTGAACTCATTAATCATCACAACGCCACAAAGTAGACGTCTTTGTAGGCCCATTTTACAGGTGGAAGGACTCATCTAAGGAGTTAAATAACTTGCTCAAAGCTACATGTCTGGGCCTGGGATTGTGGCTCAGCGGTAGAGCGCTCCCCTAGCACAGGTTCGATCCTCAGCACCACATAAAAATAAAGGCATTGTGTTGTGTCCATCTACACCTAAAAAATAAATATTTTTTAAAAAAAAGCTACACATCTTGCCAGGGATAGCGGTGGGATGTGAACCACAGGCTCTGGAGTCTGCTTATAAACATGCTGCCTACTAGAGGGCTGTGTTGCCCACTGCCCCTTTAACTCAGCAAGACCTTGTTGCAAAATTTAAAAAGAGCCGGGGGTATAGCTCAGGGGTAGAGCTGGGTCCAATCCTCAGTACCAAAAAAAAAAAAAAAAGTTCTTCAATTTCACTAGCTTCATTTTTTTTTTTGCAATCTGAGGATCAAACCCAGAGAGGGCCTCACACATGCTGTACCACTGAGCTGCATCCCCAGCCCTGTTTAATTTTCTTTTGAGACAGGCTCTAAGTTGCTTCCCACCGCAGCACTCCTAGTTGCTGGGATACAAGTATATCCCACCACTAGCCTCATCTTCAGAGTTTCAGTAGTACATGTGGCTAGTGGCCACTGTATGGAGAGTGCAGGTACAGAACTGTCCAGTTGTCCCAGGAATCCCTGTGTTGGGTGATGTGAGTCAAAACCTCTGATTCTGATTTCAACTCCTACCAGCTGTTACCCTGGGCTCACACAACCTATGGGGAAGGAGGTCAGAGGCTGGCACAGAGTAAGTGAGCACTAGGTGGTACCCTCTTCATTGGTGCCATCTGTGGGTGAGATATTAGCTTCAGAAGGCTCCTGTATTATCTCTTGCTATGTAAAGTTATCCCCAAACTAAGGGGCTTATAATAACCCAAGCATTATTTCACATAGTGTGTGTGAATCAAATTAAGGGGCAGCTTCGTTGTTTGGTTCTGGGAGGATCCAAGATGGTGCACTCACGTGTCTGGCAACTTGTTGGCAGGAGGCCTTAGTTCCTCGCCCTGTGAACTTACATAAGAGTGAAGTGTCCTCATGACATGTCACCTGACCTCTTCCAGAGTCAGTGATCTGGGTAGATGTTATGATGCCTTTTATGAACTGGCTTTGGAAGTTACACACTCTTCTTTTGAAAATCTTTTTTTTTTTTTGGTGGTGCTGGAGATTGAACCCAGGGGGCAAGCAGTCTACCAACAGAGCTATTTCCCCAGCCCTGTAAAATCTTATTGGTAACACGAGTCAACCCTATTCATTGTGAGAGTAGACTCCAAAAGGCTAGAACACCAGGAAGCAGCACTCTTTGGAAACCATGATTAAGGTTGGTGGTCATGGCTCCATTTTGGTCAGTACTGGACAGGGGTTAGTTATGTGGAGAGCTAACTCTGATAGGGCACAATATTATTATGAGAATTGAGCAAGGAATGCAAAGTGGATTCTGGACAATATTGGACCATTTTCTTCATGATCTGCCAATCATCTGAGGCTGCAGAACTGACCCCTGCATGCAGCATTTCCTGCACGGGGCATGGCAGCCCTGTGTGCTCCACAGATCTCCACTGTCAATAATTTGCTACATGGTTTTGGGGAGTACGCAGAATTCCAAGATTATTCTCAGGATCCTGATCCCCACCTGGTGTATATAATCTGTATAATCCCTTCCTTCTACGGATGATAGGACCTGTAAATATAGGATGCCACTAGGTTTATAGTTAGGTTACATTAGAAAGCAAAGGTGAAGAGATTTTGTCGATGTATTTAGTGTCCCAAATTAGTTGATTTTTGACTTAGTTAAAAGGGAGATCATCTTGGGTGGGGCTTGAAGAAGCATGTTGCCCTGAGTTCTTCGGCTATGAGGAAAAAAGTTTTGCTAACAAGCCTGTGAGTGTGGAAGAGAACTCTACGCCTCCCTGACAGACACCTTGATCACAGCCTAGGAAGATCCGGAGCAGAGCAGCCAAACAGTGCTTAGGCCCCCATGGAGACTCTGGGACAATAAATGTGCAGTTGTGACCTGCTACTGTGGTAATTTGTCACGCAACCTGGAAAACAAACACTCGAAGGTCACTCACCTCTTGGACCCTCAATTTCCTCATCTGTTAAATGGAGGAGGTGTGTAGGGTGTGGATCATTTCTAAAAAGTGATTTTGGAGTAACAACAGTGACAGCAACTAGCCTATATAAAGTGACTGCTGTGGGTCAGGACCTATTGAAAGCGCTTTACATTCATCGATTATGTCATTCCTCATAACATCTTTTTATTTTACACTTATATTTTAGCTATAGGTGGACACAATACCTTTATTTATTTATGTATTTTTTATGTGGTGCTGATGATCGAACCCAGTGCCTCGTGCATGCTGGCCGAGCACTCTATCTCTGAGCCACAACCCCAGCCCTCATTCCTCATAACATCTTACGATTAAGATCCACATTAACAGCCAGGTACAGTGGCCTATGCCTGTAATCCCAACAACTTAGGAGGCTGAGGCAGGAAGATCACAAGTTTGAGACCAGCCTCTGCAGCTTAGCAAGGCCCTAAGCAACTAAGTGAGACTGTCTGAAAATAAAAGGGCTGGGAGGTGACTCAGTGGTAAAGCACCCTGGGTTAAATCCCCTGTACCAACAAATAAATACATACATACATAAAGCCAGCTGCATTTACAGATGAGGAAACTGAGGCACAGAGTGGTTGAGTGACTTGAACTTGCCAAACTCACCCAACTAGGACACACAACTGTGATTCTAAGATGGCTGCTGTCTACATTAGATCTACCTTCCTTCCTTTAAGATGACCCCCCCACCCACACACACACTCAGGACAAAACCAGCCAAGTCCAGGACACCCCTACCCAGGGCCAGGTGCTAAGGTAATGCCCCTTTACAGGCTCAGCCAGGGGCAGGGGCAGAGATGATCTTTTGGACTAGACAGGGCTCAGGGGTGAGCTTGATGGGATGGGCCCCACCTGATATTCTTTAACCAGGTGAGTCCGTTAAGAACTGACCCAAGGCTCAGCCTGCCCCAGAACTTTGCCCCGCCCCACCCCGCCCAGCTGCGGCAGGTGTTGACCACTTCACCCACTGAAAGAATCATTGTGGCACCACCACCTGCCTTTGTCTCTTGGGGTCTGGAACAGAGCCAGACCCAGCTATCGGGGGGGCTTTTGGTGTGTGTGTCTGAGTTTGCTCAGGACTGGCACTTGGCAAACCCTTGTAGATGTCACATGGATTTCACTTCCCTTAAAGCCACTTCCTCCCCCCCTTGTCATCTTCATGGTCGGTGCCCTCAGCAGTCCACATCCTCCCCAAGGAGGAAGATGTCTGAGAATTCTTCCCACACTGTAGTTCTCTTTGCAGAGAACCCAATTAACAAACAAAAGAAAGCTACAAACCACAAAGAGTGTCTAGTCTTTAGAGGTTTTTTTTTTTTTTTTTTTTTTTTTGGTATGGGATTGAACCCAGGGGAGCTTAACTACTGAGCCACATCTCCAGCCCTTTTTTATATTTTATTTAGAGACAGGGTCTTGCTGAGTTACTAAGTGACTTGCTAAGTGCCTGAGGCTGGCTTTGAACTCCTGATCCTCCTGAGCCACTGGGATTACAGGTGTGTTCCACTGCGCCCAGCTGCGACTAGTCTGCTAATGGTGGGATTTCAGCAGCTTGAGAGATGGCAATCGGGAAGGTTTGGGGACAGACATTTTGGCTTTATCCTCACTATGTGCCCCATCCTTTCATAACCCACGCCCCCACACCCACACTCTGCTCCACACACTCTCCACCTACATTTTGCCACATGCAAGAATGAGAATTAAGAAGACCTCAGAGTCAGGGTTGCAGGGTTCCAATCAACAGCAGACTCCGTCATCCACCTGCTGTGACCTGGCTTTCCTTGGAGGCTCAGTTTCCCCATCTACAAGATGAGGAGGAAATGTGGGCTAGAGCAATGATTCTCAGTTTGAGCTGCTCACTCAAACCACACAGAAAAGTGTGCCAACAACACAGATGTCCATCCCCCACCCCCAAGGTTGATCTGTGGTGTGGCTTAGAGAGCTAATTTTTATAGCTTTGTAGCTGATTCTAATGTGAAATGGACTGAATTAATCCATAATTTTTCCTCTTTGGTACTCACTTTTTACCCACTGAGCCACGTCCCTAGCCCTTTTAATATTTTATTTAGAGACAGGATCTTGCTGAGTTGTTTAGGGCCTTGTTAAGTTGCTAGGATTGTCTTTGAACTCCCAATTCTCCTGTCCTTAGCCTCTGGAGCTGCTAGGATTACAGGCCTCCGGCGGATAAACGGGTTGTAGAGTATTTGGAAATTCCTTAGAAGTATGCAGAATTGTGCATATAGCCCCCCCCCCACCAAAAAATCCCAACAATAGAAAATTTTTAGGTCATCTTTGACTCCCAACAGTTTTTCACTACTCTAAATGAAAACTCCATGGTAGGGAGGGGAACAGTGCCACCTTGTGGTTTTATTTTGCACTTGCAATATCCAAATCATCTGCCATGCAATGCAATATATTTACTTGTTGAATACCAATTCACCGTAGGAGGCATTGTGATGTGCCTTGGACATCAGAACACGCAGAGATGAAAGTTACTTGAACATGAAGCTCACAATCCAGGTACATAAAGCCCTTTGACCTGAGGTCAAGAGGCAAAGGGATGGAATACAAGCCTGGGGCCAGGCTTTTGCTGGAGTGTGACCTGTGCTTAGAAGAGCTCTGTGCTTGATTTCATCATTTCCTGTCTCCGTCTTAAAGTTATTTGAACTAGGAGGCAAGTATTTTCATCTTTTTTTTTTTAGGCCCCATAAATTATGGAGTTGGTACTCTACCTCAAGTAGTTGAGGAATTTTTGGAGGAGGTGACATCTGACCTGGCTCTGGAAGGCAGGGCAGTAGCGGAGGGAAAACAAGGGAGAAAGGCTAGTTTGGTGAGGAAGGAGAAGCAGAGTCCTCGGGCCTTGCTGACAGAGTGTGCTGGGGGAAGGAGATAGAAAGTCTGGTGCTGCAGAGGAGGTGGAGAGGAAAGAAAATCGGCTGTTAGATGATGGAGGCCCAGGTGTAAGGAAGTGCTCCAGGAGGGCCCAGGCCAGGGACGGAGCTTTGGGGGTCACAGACTTACAGGTGGGATCAAGGCTTGTAGGATCCCCTGAGAAGACAGAAGAGGAGGACACTGCTGCGTGGCCAGGCCTGGGCTTGCAGGCCCACCGAGGTTCTTGACTCCCAAGGCTCCTTTCTTGAGGAGTGGCAGAGGAAGCCCTTGAGGGCCGGGATGAATGGGCCCTTGAGCCTCGCTCCCCACGGGGTGTGCTACAAAAGCCCTCTTAGCTTCCTTCCGGCTTCAACACCACCATGAGATGCAGTATAAACCCTTCAAGGCAGGCACTCATTTTGGAGACTTTCTTTTTGACCCAGTGCATCCTGTGTTCCTCAGCTAGGATTCAGCTTCAGGGGCCACATGGGATATGAGCAAGATTCTCCCTTGCCCCTCACAGTGGGTTTGCTGATGGTGGATCACAGAATTACTCAGGACTCCAGTGAGTCTAAAAAGCAAACCTAATAGAGATTTGCTCATAAAGGGATTTCCCATAGAGTCTTCTGGGAACTTCCACATGCGGGGGGAGGGGTTTTATAAGAAATGAGCTTTTCCTCAGAGGTCAAGGAAGGGCTCCTGGGTTTGGGTGCTGAGCCCATTTCAGACCAGGTGTCCCTGTTAGACCACCAGGGCTGGTACAGGTAACTGGCACCACCCATGTCCTTGGCACCCATAGCCTAAGCCAGGGTCCTGCCTGACGTTTGTTTATTTTTCCTTCCCTGAGAAGAAATGTGGGCAGCCTGGTCAGGAATGGATTGTGCCCTCTTTGGGCTGTGTTATTGCCCACTTATCCCAAGGGCTCTGTCTGGTTATCCGAAGGGCTCCCGTGTTTGTCTCTGTGCCTGGGGTACATTCTTGCCTGAGATGTGGATGTAGCTGTAATTAGTCACTGGAGCTGATAGGTGGCCTCCCAGGGCAGTGACATGGGCTCAGGGATGCCAGTTACCTCTAGAAAAGATCAAAATGGCAGGCTCTCTGCACCACAGAATCTGCTCTGGACAGAGACTGATTCTAGAACAGCAGAGGAATCCCTGATCCTCGGGGCTGCATCCTATTGGGCCTGCAGGAGAAATAACTGGGGAGGTGGTTAAGATGGCAAAGCCGGCCTGCTGCCCCGGGCACTGCTCGGCCACCACAGCTGTGGGCCAGAGAGCAAACACAGGCAAGGGTACAGAGGTGGCTCCAGCCCTGGGGGAGTACAGGGGGTGGCATATTCTGGTGCCCCATAACAGGACCAGTGCTCCCAGTGGATCCAGTGTTCACATGCGACTTTGAGTTCTCTGGGACTTGGCGCTGCCGATCAGATCTGGTACTCTGAGCAAAACCAGTGCTCCAGGGCATGCTGGCCGCGATTCAGAAGACTCGCCTCATGGCAGGGTTTGCGAAATTATGTGTTTTCTCTTCAAGTCGGGACACAGATGCCTGGAGGGCAAATGACCCAGGCTTGGCTCGGATCCCTCCACCCAGCGTGTGAAATTGTGAGAGAAAGGAGAGACTTGGACAGAGGGGACAGGGACCAGACAAAGTTACTGAGGCAGAGATAGATAAATAGACAGATAACAGATAAATGATAGAGACAGAGTGATTCAGAGGCAGGAGATCGGGAGAAACACGCACACTGAATATGGACAGCATCACTCAGGTCGTGTCTTCCTACATGCCGAAGGACAAGCAAGTGACACTTAAGACTGAGGTTCCCTGGCCAGCTTTCTTGCCCTTTCACAGCCTAGGGGCCAGGGAGCAAGACTTGACAGCTGGAGCAGTCGCGGGCACAGGCCTCGGCGGCGGCAGCCGTGCCCCACCTCGCCTACGTCTGGATGAAGAGGTGGAAGTTGGTGCGCGTGAACTCGTGGTGGATGCTCTCCAGGAGCTCGTCGGCGTCCGTGGCAGGTTCCGCGGCGCCGGCAGAGCCGGGCCTGGCGCTGTACTCCGGGGTGTAGGTGAAGGTGAAGGCGCTGGGGTAGAGCAGCCCGTCGGCGCGCACCAGGCTCACGGGCACCGTGATGGGAGTGCGCAGCCAGCGCCAGTCGCTGCCGAAGGCCGCCACGTCGGGCACCACGCACACCAGGGACCTCGGGCTCCTGGGGTGGGCCAAAGGGTCAGGACTACAGGGACTTTGATGGCCCGTGCGCTCCCGTCCCTGCTCCCTCGAGCCGGGGGGCCTCCTACCCGCCCCGCACCTGTACATGGTTTCTGACTCCACGTCCCCGAACCACACCTTGAGCCCCGCGTGGAAGTTCTCTCCATGCAGCTCCAGCGTGGCCACGTCACCCCCGCCGCTGAGCTGGGGTAGAGCGCCACAGGTGGGATGAGGAAGGGGACGGAAGTCACTGCCCCCCCTCACCAGCTCCCCCAAGGCGCCCCCAGTGCCAGGCCACCTCCAGGGTGCTGATGAGCGGCACCGGAGTGACCGGCTCCCGCGGACACGCCAGGCTGGTGCTGAAGGAGAACTCCACCGACTCGGTGCCGATGATCGTCCAGCAAGAGCTGTCGTTGAGCAGCGCCCTGTTGGCCTCCTTGGGGCACGGAGAGGCCTGGGAGGAGAGCCGAGGGTGTGGCGGAAGCTTCTGTCGATGGTGGCCACCCTCACCAGGAGCCAACATAGGGCCTGGGCCCCGCCAGGTCCAACAGGTCTGCACGCCCTGGAGGAAGCCCTGGAGTCCTCTCACTTAGAGTTAAATAAGTTCACTGCACCCGCTGGTCTCTAATGGCCTTATTTTCGTGGGACTCTATAATCTTAGTCTAATTAATTAGCTTATTTATCTATTTTGGTACTGGGGATTGAACCCAGGAACACTACCACGGAGCCACATCCCTGGCCCTCTTTGTTTTTTCTTTGAGACAGGGTCTGGCTAAATCGCCCAGGCTGACTTCAAACTTGGGATCCTTCTGTCTCAGCCTCGCAAGTGGCTGGGATTACAAGTGTGTACCACCAAGCCCAGCCTATAATTTCATTTTTTAAACATTATTCAATTTTATACCCTAACAAACTATGACGACTTAAATATTAATTGGAAAGGAATATTGTTCAATAATAATAATAATAGTTATTCTCTACAAATTATGATTGTATCTCCCAATAATCTATGATGATATTCTTTTGGGAATAATATTGCTGAATAGTAATTATTATATTCCACACCTTGCAATTCTCTCTTAACATTCTGTGATTCTAATAGACTTTACTCAACAATAATTAATACTATTATCAATTATGATTTTTATTTATGTTCTATAATTTTATATCCTATCACTATGATCTTAATATTCTTAGGGAAGGAGCATTGCTAATAACAGTAACTATTATTTTTCTACATTCTATGATTCTGTCCTGATAGTCTACAATTCTGACCTCCCATGGCAGGCCTTCAGTAAGCAGCATCCGCGGTGATGATAGTTTATATCACCTCCCCACATTCTCCCTTTTGATGCTCTGTGGTATTCTCTGCTCACCTGGAATTGCACCACCTTCTCTGTGGCAAGGCATAAGTAGGTGCCACCCCCTTCTGGAGGGCCACCTGGAAACTGGAAGGCACACTTGTGCAGTTGAGAGATAGGCTCATCTACGTCGAGGAGAGCACACTGTTTGGCTACTTTGCGGATGATCTGCAACACACGGGTGGTAGGGAGAGTGGTAGCAAGGTTTCCAGGTGACCAGAGGCTGTCATCCCAGCCACTTTCTGCTCCTCTGATTGCCATGGTGTCATTGGCAGGTACCCACCAACCACCCACTGTTTCCAGAGTGAGAATAGGTGCCTTCATCCTTGGGGTCTCACCACCCCCACCCTGCCCATGTGGGCACTTCCTCTCCATGAATCTGGGGACCCCTTCAGGTACACCCTCCTTCCTCATACCATAGGAGGTAGCGTGATGCCGGTGACTGTGCAGACAAGCTGCACCAGGGAGCCATAGCGGACGTAGCCCTCTCGAGGTGGGAAGTCCCCTTGCGTGGAGTGCTCATCAGCTGGGGGTGAAAGGAAGGAAGGAAGAAGGGTTTCAGGGGCCCCAAGCTTGTGCTCCAAACCCTGCCTTTTTCACCCCTGACCCCATCTCACATCACACTGGGCCTTGCTGGTCTCTCAGGGAAGCTGCTAAACTGAAGGTCTACTCCTGGGGAGGTCACATGTGGCCATCATTATAAATGTCTGCTCCTGGGGCAGACACTTGGGCATGGACATTGGAATCAGAATAGCTTGGATCAGTCACTGACTCACCGGGACCCCGGCAAGCCTTTTTATTTCCAAGATGGGATACACAGGGCCAGGTTTACTTTCCTTGAGGGGTTGGGGTGAAGGTTGAACAAGTGAATGCACATGGAGGGCCTGGCCCTGGGCCTGCTGACATAATTACCCAGGTGGAGCGTGAAGGCAGCCCACTGTCTTGCACTGGCCACAAAGGCCCCATCCTCCACAGAGAGGTAGCGCGTGGACACCGTCTGGGAGCGCAGGCGGTTGAAGAGGGAGACCTTTGAGCCTGAGGATATGCACACTGTGAAGGGAGGTAGAATCAGTGCCCTGGTTCCTTGGACTTGCCACTCAATCTCCTGTCCCTTGTCCCTGTGCCATCCTTTGCCCCGGGTTACCGGTATGTGCCGCAGCACCCAGCCCCTGGCCTGGACACACTGCATTCATATTTCACAGCTATTTATCTAGGGCTTGCTGCAGTCCAGCCTCTGGCCTTTGTCCTCTCCCTTGTGCTCCCTGGGCATCTCATCAAGTCACTCAGGGCCTACTTTGTGGCAGGCACTGTGCTGGGTACTGGGTACCAACATGTCAACTAGTCCTGGCTTTGCTTTGGAAGAGTTCACCATCTCAAGGTCATAATTATACAATGGCAATATGATGTGACGAGGGCTGAGTTATGGATCTTCTTGGAGGAGGTTACACTTGTAGCCAGGGAGCGTGAAGCAGGTGGAGTTACACAGAGGCAAAGACCACGTGGTGTGAAACAGGGGCACGAAGCTTCTGGGGCTTGACATTTCTCTCTTCCAGCCTATCGCACATACTCAGAGCCAAGCTTTACTTTCCTGTTGGACTTTGACCATCTGGAGAGAAGGCACAGGTGGGTCCTTGGCCAGTTTCTTCTTACAGTGCTGGACAGACTGCAGATGTTCCGTTTATACTTTGTCCAAGCCCTCCTCAGAATAAGAGGCAGTGTTTATTGTGAGCCAGTACTTTCCCAAATGTTTTAACATGTATTAGCTCATTTGATTCTCTTAACGACTTTCTGAGGTAGATACCACTAGCCCTGCTGCAGGCAGCAACCTGCTCAAGATCATGTAGCTCACAAGCTGTACGACAGCTTGTTGGAAACCCAGGCTGCTGAGCCCTGGAATCTGCACGCTTTGGGATCTTTATTTATTTATTTATTTTTGGTACTGGGGATGGAACCCAGGGGAATTTAACCACCGAGCCACACCCCCAGCCCTTTTTTGTATTTTATTTAGAGACAGGGTTTCACTGAGTTGCTTGGCACCTCACTAAATTTCCGAGGTTGGCTTTGAACTCAAGATCCTCCTGCCTCAGCCTCCCGAGCCACTGGGATTACAGGCAGGCGTCACCGTGCCTGGCTGGAATCTGCTGCACTGTCGACCATCACACTGTGCCACCACCCTCCCTGGCTCTCCCATGATGCCAAGCGCCTGCCAGAACACTGCCTGGATCTGGGCATTCTGCAGGCTTTGTTGTGCTGATGTTTTCTGGTGCTGGGGATTGAACCCAGGACCTCATGCAGGCTAGGCCAGCACTGTACCCCTGAAGTAAACCCCCCAGCACATTTTTGTTTTGTTTTGAGGCAAGGTCTCACATTGTTTCCCAGGCTGGCCTCAAACTTGCAATCCTCCTGAGTAGCTGGGTTACCCATATGTGCCACAGCACCCAGCTCCAACTATTTCTTAAGTGAATGGGTAAATATTCCAAACCCAATGTTCTTCATTTTCCATATAGGAACAATGATAGGAACTACTTCACAGGGACACGGTGAGCATCAGACAGGGTGATGTCAGTAGTCACTAGCTCAGAAAGCCCCTCTCACTCCCTTCCCTCCCAGCCATGGGAGTAGGGTGTCATGGTTATTCAGACACGCCCCTCCCAGCCTTTTCTTAGAGCTCCTGCCTGGGATTTGCCACTTGCCATCAGGACAGTATGTATCTCAAATTGCCGCTGTGATCCACGGTGCGTGTCTCCCCTGCAAGGCTATCTTTCCTCTAGAAAAAGACACCTGTCTTATTATGTACTATCCAGCACTACTCAGCACAAAGTCAGGCAAACAGCAGGCACTCCATACTTATTTTTTAAGATAGGGTCTCCACTATGTTGCCTAGGCTAGTCTCTAACTCCTGGACTCAAACCACCCTCCTGCCTCAGCCTCCTGAGTAATTGGGATTATAGGCACACGCCACACCCTGCTCCACAAATACTATTAACTGAATTTTCTCTGTCACTTTATTGCCATCCCCCTGGCTCCCAGTGCTGGGAACTGAGGGGCCTAGCACAGGTAAGCACTGAGTACACCCCAAACCTTCCTATCTCACTTTGAATCTGTCCCTAGATTGCCAGCCGCAGTGGGTTTTGTCTGTTCTGAGCACCGCTCTCATCCCACTCCCAAAGCTTATGCGTCCCCTTTCCTCAGCCTTTGCTCCCTACATCTCCAGGCCTAAGCGGCACCCACTCATCCAGACCAGACCCCCTCTCGCCTGGACTCCGCCCTGGTCACTCGGATCCCACACCTACATCTCGCCCCACGCCCCCCCATCACGTCCCTCTCCCAATTCAGCGGCTCTTGACTTGGTGGCACCTCCCGCCCTGCCTCGCCGTCGGGCCCCTCCTCGGCTCACGGTCGGTGTTTTTCAGCGACTGCTTCTTTTGCGACGGCTTGGAGATGACCTTGATGAGGCGACTGTGGAAGGTGCCCAGCTCGCGGCCCCCTCGCAGCACCAGCCGCAGCACCAGCCGGAAGTGCTTCCTCTTGTCGGCGTCGGAGATGTACAGGGTCTTGGCACAACCGAATTCCTACAGGCTCGAGGCATGGGACCGTCACATCCCAGCCCTCCAGCACAGCCCCCCCCCCCCCCGTTATCTGACGTCCGGCCCATCGGAGGTGACAAGAGGCTCCAGGAGCTCGGCCTCTGACCTCCCGACCTCCAGACCTCCCGGCCTATCTCTTGGTTAGGAAGGAGGCTCAGGGGCTCCTCTCCAGAAAGGCGGGGATGGAGCAGGAACCGGGCTCCCTCCTGTGCACTCTCACCCTGGAGTCCGGCTGCTCCTCGAAATTCAGCTTCTGCGTCTCGGCCGCGCTGCCGGACGCGCCGTCCAGTCCCATGTAACCACAGACTGTAGGCCCGGTCTCCCCCGCCTGGTGGGCTGGACAGGGACGCGAACCGGCTCTAAAAGGCCTCAGGATCCCGACTCAGGCGCCCGGCAACCTTAGCTTTCACAGCCAGAGGGCGCAGCGAGGCTGCGCCGGAGAACCGTCCCGTTCCCAGGCCCAGAGCGCAGTCCTCCCTGCAGAGACAGAGCAACCCGCGTCCCCGGAGGGCGCCCTCACCTTGACCCTGCACTGGCTTCACCCTCCAGCCGGGACCCGTGAGGTAGACACAGGGCGGGGGGCAGAAGAACCTACGGAGACAGGAGAGTGCCGGGTTGGTATCTCCGCTTGCCTGTCTGGTAAGCATCACCAACCCACCCAGCCCTTGATTCTGCCTCCGTTTCTCCCCTAGGCTCCTCCATTCCTTGAACCCCATTAAGGTCGGAACTTTCTTTTATTTACACCCCTTACCCAATCCATCTGCAAGTACCCCCACTCCACCTTCAAAACCTCCGGAATCCACGGGCTTCTTACCACCTCCCACCCCTGCTCTGCCTGCACCACGCATCTGCCTTCCAGCCAGCCTCTCTGTTGTCCTCCTGCACCCTTCAACTTATTTTTCATACAGCAGACAGAGTGCTTTTTAAAAAAACATGAGTCAAATCATGTTACTCCTCTTCTTGAAATCCGCCAGTGGCTTAAAATGCCAAGTCCTCACATGATCTGGCCCCTGCTTACCTCTCCAACTCTTTCCTATAACTCCCCCCCCCCTTCCTCTACCTCCAGCCATTCTGCCTTCTTTTGTGGTAGTTGGTACAGCCATAGGGTCTTTGCATTATTTTGTTCTTTGTAGTTGGAACATTCTTCCCTTGGATTTCCTCATGGCTGGTTCCATCTTAACATTCGAGTCTCCTCCTTCATCTTCCAAGCTAAAGTACCCTCGATTCAATTTCTGTGACATTACTTTGTTTTATTTTCCTTTTCACTTTCCCCATGATCTGGAAATATCTTATTTGCTGACTTGTGGGGAGGTTATAGTTTGTCTCTTCACATTAGAAGGAAAATACCATGAAGCAGGGACTGTGTCTTGTTCCACTGTGTGCCCAGTGCCCAGCAGAGTCTGGCACATGACAGGCACTCCGAAAGTGGCTGAATGGATGAAGAGTGGAGTGAGAGAGTGCAGATGGGAGAGTCACGAGGTTCTGCTATAGACCAAAGTCGGGGGGCATGCTGGCGGAGGGACAGGTCCCCTGATCAGTCAATAGCTGAGGTCTCAGCCCTAAGTCCCCTGGCAGGAGGGCAGAAGGGTGCATGGGGCTGATAGCCACAGTGACCTGGGAGGGCCACTGAGGCACTTACCGCTTCTCATTTCCGTATGATTTCTGGGCCACCTTGGCATGTAGGATCCGCACTGTCTGTTCGCATCCTTGCTGCAGACACCTGCACACGCCTTCCCTCAGGATGGTGGTACACTCCGGGGAGGACCTAGGAGTGGGACAGGCCCACAGCAGGGAGAGTCACGGGTGGGTGGCACATAGCCCACCACTCCGGTTGAGTAAAATGAAGCAGGGCAGGGGTGGGATTGGGATGGGGCTACTATACATTCTGCTTCCTAGGGATCAAGGTGTTGGGGGGGAGTGTTAGGCCAAGGAGAGGACTTGGATGCAAGTTGTGGGCTAACTTTTTGGACTTTGAGATACTCAATGAAGCATGCATGGGGCCCACTGGGGCCACCCAGGTTCCACTCTATGAGTCTGGCTTCCTGCCTGCCCCTTGGCATTCTGGGGCCTCAGAGAGACACAGCTGTGACACAAAGGCCCCACTTATGCTGGCCTTGAGATGGGGTATGTGGGACTGGTCGTTAAGCCTCCCCATCCCAAGAGAATGCCAAAGGGAAATACTGGAACTGGGCCCAGAGTGCTGCTCTCTCACCTCCTGCCAGCAGACTCCACAAACATGAAAAGCACCCCCAACTCTGTCCCGGGATGGGGGCCAGCTGAGATCTTCTATGCCCAAAGCAACATTCCTCTCTTTCTCCCATGAGAAGGGGCCTAATGCCATGCGGGCTTTCCTTTCCTTGATTACAGGGAATCGAAGTCGATTACACTGGCGCTGCAGGATAAGCCAGGTCAGAGCCAGGGGTTTCTGGTGGCTTCGCAGCATGGGGGTTTGAATGGGTGAGGGTGGGTGCACCCAAAACCTGCCCCATTGCAGGGCGCATGTAAAGGAGTCTCTGGTGGGAGAGAATTTGAGAACTAGCAAGCTGGGGCCCAGAGAGCCACTATCCCTGAAGCTGTGCGTTTGAGCCTTTTACCCTCTTGGTGGGACCCGAGTCAAGGCCTTTCCTCACTCCTGGAAGGGACAACGGAGGGCAAGAGTCGGGCGGGCCCTCGGACGTCGGGCCAGGCAGTCAGGCGGCCAAAGCCAGGACCGCTCCGCCTCTTGGGGCTCTCCTCGGGGAAGTGCCTCCTAGGCTTCCAGCGCATTCCGGCTGCGAGTGTCGCCGCCCGTCTCCAGCTGCAGCGGAATTCCGGCCCGGCAGCTCGCGCCTGCAGCTCCAACCCGGCAGGGACAGGGGACGCTGCGCTTGCCCCGCCCCAGTCGTCAGGGGAAGGGGGGATCGCTCCCTGCCAGTGGGAGGGTCGCAACCCGCGCTCCCCCTCCCCACCCGCCAGCCTTGGGTTAAATGCGGCCGCCGCCTCTGCTCGCTCCAGCTGCCTGGCAGTCCCACCTAGGGCGCGCTGCCCACGTCGTTACCTGGTCCAACTGCCCGCGAGGCTCCGCCCGTCGGCTCCGATCTGCGGCAGCGCCTCCGAGCTGTCCAGCAGGCTCAGGTGAGTCAGAGGGCCCGGGGGCACTGAGGATTCTGCAGGGGAGAGGGTGTCGAGCCCGACCCCGAGACCGCAATTAACCCAGGAGGCACCGCCACGGTGCCTAAATCTGACCTGCAGTGACCTTTCCCTCTTCGGTAGGGTCCTTTCCAAATCCAGTCTCCACGAGAAAAGCCGACAAAAGGGGAGCACCCTTTCCCTAATCTTCCACCTCCAGGCCCAGGCACCGAGGTGTTCAATCTTGGGACCCTGAAAGAGTTTGCACAGACCTTCCTCCCTTGCAAGTCCACTTTCCCCAATCTAAGTGCATCAGCCAAACTTTCCCTTTAACCAAGGATTAACTCTTCAGAGGAGTCCTGGGCTCTAGTGTCATCCAGGTGACCACGTTTCTGTGACATTGGGTGAAGACCCCCATGGTCCTCTCTGGGCTTAGTTCTTTCTGTAGGCTGGGGGTAGGGGGCTGGGTGAGTGATGGGCTTCTCCACAGTCCCTATTTGGACTTTCTAGGATTCCTGGGGTTGAGGCAGAGCCAAGTGTATGTTGGCTCAGGTCAAGAGTAGGATAAGGGGACCCTCATCAGGATTTGGGGCTCCAGAGGCAGGTAGGAAGGGTTGGAGAATGGCAAAGGGCCCTCCCGCTTTTACCCACATGTTACCCAGGGATCCTATCCTCTGCTGTGACCCAAGCAAGAGAAGGCACTCCCCACCCTCTCATCTCCACCAGCAGCTGCAGATCCAAGGGGCACATTTAGCTTAGTCACCCTGTCACGGTGGGCCCTGCCAGAGAGATTGTTGTTCCTCCACTAGGCCTGGAAGGCGAAGGGGGAGAAGAATCCCAGGCGGGAAAGCCTTCTGGAGCGATCCTCAGGCCCTGGCCTTGCTCAGAATAGGCCCATTCATGGAATTGGGGGGTGGGGAGTTGGATTAGGGGGGGTGGCCCTCTCTGCCAAGAAACAGCAACAGAAAAATGGCTACTGCAGTCTCAACTTGGGGCGCAGGGGTGGGATAGAGAAAGGAACGGAAAGAGGTGTAACGACTCCTAGGCCTCGGGGAGCTAGGCAGCTTGGGAGCCAGCCGGGAGCCAGGATCCCTGGATTCTAGTCCTGCCTTGCAGCTCAGCGGGCTGTCTTCCTGGGACTCAATTTTTCCATGGGTTCAAGGGGGTGGGGGGTCCTGTCGTCGGGGGCCACTGGAGGGCGAGGGCTCACCTGCTGCCCCCATAGGGTCCATGGCCACTCTGCAAGGCCCGGGCTGATCTCTCGCTGCCCTTGGGCACGTCCAGTGCCACCGTCCCCGGAACTCTGCACAACTCTGCTCCCTGAGCCTCGTGCGGGATATATTCCAGGCAGGTCTTATCTCCAAGGCTCGGGCTCCTGGCCGGCTGTTTGCTCTGGGCAGGGACACCTGCTGGGCAGATGTGGGCTTCCCACGGCCACTAGACCGCCGCAGCCGGGCCCGACGCCCCCTGGCGGCCTCTCCTGAGAGCAGGCGGGGAACCGAGGCACGGAGGCCCTGGTTGTGCGTGGTGGGCTTTGGCCGGATCACTGCCCACCACCCGACACTCGAGCCTGAGAAAGGGGCGGCCCTTCCGGCGCCACCTGCGGTTGGGCGGTGTAGGGGAAAGGACTCGGGTTTGCAAAGACGGCCATACAGAAGCTCCTGTGTGCGGAGGGGAGGGCCGAGGAGGTGAATGGTTTCTGTCTGCCGAGGTTCGCCTCTTGGGAAAAGAGGCACGGAGCCCTCGGGCTGGCTCCCAGAACCAGACAGACCAGGGTACTATCCTGGCGCAGCCACTTCCTTGCCGCATGACTTTGGGTACCAGGGCTTGACTTCTCTATGCCTATGTTTTGTCCTCTGTGCAGTGGGGTCAACAGCAACCTTGGTGTTAGAGCTGGAGAGAGGATTACATGCTACAGCGCGTGAAAAGCATTTAACGCTGTACCTGGTATTTAGGAAGGCCTTTTTCTTTCAAAATTTTGTATATTTAAGCTACTATTTATTTATTATTCTGCTATCCTACAAAGTATAACTTTCTACAGTTCTACAAAGAATCTCTTGTGTTTCCCAGCAATCCCAGTGTGATGACGTGTGTGTGTGTGTGTGTGTGAGAGAGAGAGAGAGAGAGAGAGAGAGAGAGAGAAACGTTTGAACCATACACAAAAATAGAGATTAGTAAAATAACCCATGACCCTCTCCTCTCCCCTTCAAGTATCCATTCCCCAGAATAAGAGCTCTGTCAATACTATTGCTTTTCTAATTTACTGTCTCCCTCCAGGCTCTGACATCTTCTCTGTCCCCCAAGCAATATGAGAGGCCTTCTTTGCTGGCCACTGGCCACGTTGCTGCTCCTTCTCCAGCCCTGGGAAACCCAGCAGCAGCCCGCAGGTGAGCGGGTGCCCCGCCCTCAGCAGCGGGAGGAGGAGAAGAAGCTTCTTTTGCAGCCAACTGGGGGGTGGGGAGTGGAGGGGAGGGGAAGGGGTGGGGGGAGAAGCCTGAGCCGGGAAACACTCACTGGGTTTGAGATTCACACTTCGCCTGCCTCTCTGGGCCTCACCTCTAGGATATGGCTTAGTTTTGGGTTCATGCAGAACTGTCCATTCAGGGTTTGATTTTAAAAAACTTATTGAAAACATGGAAAAATCAGGAGATTTCACACACAAATTCTGATTTGGGATTTCTTTTTTAAAAAAATCCAAGGACCTGATAACTTTTGGGTGGAGCTGCTCGGTTTAGGAGGGATAAAGCCGCGTGTCCACGGCCCTAAGCCAGCCAGTTCATTCATTTTTTTGTTGCCTGCCTGACCCTTATTGGCATTTGAGTTTTCAACACTCCTCCTCGCCCTTTCCTTAATGGATAATGCCTTCCCAGAGTAGTCCTCAGAAGTGTCCATGGGAATGTGTGCAATCTCCTAGCCCAGTTTCTCAGCAAATGCTGGACAAGGGAGGGTGTTTAACCTGCCTTTGCTAGTGCTGCACCGGAATAGCAGCATTTCTCTTGGGTTTCCCGGGGTGGACGTGTCTTTTTGGAGGTAAGACTTTGCTAACCTAAGAAAGTCCTTCCTGATCTCCACTGTAGGTCCCAAGTGCCATACTGGGCCTCTGGACTTGGTCTTTGTGATCGACAGCTCCCGCAGCGTGCGCCCCTTTGAGTTCGAGACAATGCGGCAGTTCCTAGTGGGCCTCCTCCGCAGCCTCGACGTGGGGCTCAACGCCACGCGTGTCGGCGTGATCCAGTATTCGAGTCAAGTGCAGAGCGTCTTCCCGCTGGGCGCCTTCTCGCGCCGCGAGGACATGGAGCGCGCCATCCGCGCCCTGGTGCCACTGGCGCAGGGTACCATGACTGGGCTGGCAATCCAGTACGCCATGAATGTGGCCTTCAGCGAGGCAGAAGGGGCGCGCCCGCCGAAGGAGCGCGTGCCGCGCGTCGCTGTCATCGTGACCGACGGGCGGCCGCAGGACCGCGTGGCCGAGGTGGCGGCGCAGGCGCGCGCTCGCGGCATTGAAATTTACGCGGTGGGGGTACAGCGCGCCGACGTGGGCTCCCTGCGCGCCATGGCGTCGCCCCCGCTGGACGAGCACGTCTTCCTGGTCGAGTCCTTTGACCGTATCCAGGAGTTCGGTCTGCAGTTCCAGGGCCGGCTGTGCGGTGAGCGGGAGGGCGCTGGAGCGAGGCTCCAGTTCTGTTTGGATTCTTGTTCCCTCGCAGGGAGTCCTTTCCCATCCCGGCTGAGGGGAGTGGTTCACCATGACCTTAGGGTCAAACTCCAACACCAAATGCCTTCAACAGGAATTACTGTCCCTCAACGCTGAGAGCAAGGCCAGGCAGCAGTCCTGCCCCGCCCACCTGGTTTTGGCCCCTCCCACTCAGTTTTACTATTTCCACTAACGCTGCGGGGGCTGGGCATTCTGAGTTGTTCTGCCCACTGTAAGCGCTTCTCTGCACCTGTGTGGCCCTGCCTATCCTACCGACACATGGGTCCGGAGCCTCTCTCTGTGTCTGTTCATAGGAGCTGCTCAAGCCCTCCTCTTTCCCTAAGCTCTCCCACCTGGACAGACCCCCTCACATCCCACCCAAGGCCTTACTTGAGGATGGTGCTCTGACCGCACCCCATCCAGCTCTCTCATTGGAGGCTTTTGCCCTTCTGGCTCCTGCTGATTCTAATGCTGTGTGTCCTTAGGGAAGGACCTGTGTGCTGAGTGGGGACACATCTGCCAACACCAGTGTGTCACAGCTCCAGGAACGTTCTACTGCGCCTGCAACTTTGGCTACAAGCTAGCAGCAGATAACAAGAGCTGTTCGGGTGAGAACTACCCCGCCTGCCATCTCACAACTCCCGAGCCTTCTTTGGCTCTGTGTAGCTCCAGAATTGGTGGGAACGAAGGAGTTTGAAGGGAAGTAAAAACTGGCCTCTTTCACCCTAGAGGCCCAGGGAAGAGGAAATCACCAGGTCCTGGTGGGACCAGGGCTAAGAATCTTGGCCCTGCCGTTATAAGCTACTTTCTGTAGCCTCTTTTCCTTCTTTTAGCCCAGTCTCCTACCTCACTCCACCTCCCCAAAGTGTTTCTGCCTCCTCCCCATGTCTGTCGCGTAGACACTGTTGGGGTCCTCAACAGTTAGATAGGGCCCCCCACATGCTGCTCTTCCTGCCTCTGCACCTCAGCTGTTTCTGTGGAGCTCACCTGGGCCGCCTGTGCTGCTCCCCTCCGCTTCCACAAACCTTTCCTTCCTTTCTTCTTGTCTTCATTGGAACCAGGGATTGAATCCAGAGGTGCTTAACCACTGAGCCACCTCCCCAGCCCTTTTTATTTTGTAGTTAGAGACAAGGTCTCACTAAGTGGCTGAGGCTGGCTTTGAACTTGTGATCCTCTTGCTTCAGCCTCCTGAGTCTACACATCTTTCACGACTTTGTTCTTCATTTTTTTGTCTTCTGAAAACCTCTGGCACATGATTCCTTGCTTACACGATTGGGTTTTTCTTTGTGACATGTTCAAGGGTCTACTCTTGTGATGGTAATGTTGCTATTTCCTGACTGCTAGGTTAGTATGAGGCATTATGCTAGGAGGACTCTAAACATTAGCTCTCAACCTCAGAGTGACTTGGAAGAGGAGATCATGTGATCCCAATAACCCAGATGCCACCTGGGTTTCTAGAAACTTTTTAAAGTCTGGTTTTAACACCCCATTTGAGGACTGTGAACATTCAAATTCTTCTGCTGCATTCATTAGATTTTGGGTCCTTTCTCAGTTTTTGACCCTGTACATACTGTTCTTGTGTCATGAATTTAAATCAGCCTCTGGTTTATAGGCTTGTGGGCATGCAAGTGTGTGTGTGTGTGTGTGTGTGTGTGCGCGCGCGCGCGTCTATGTGTATATCCATTTTACTAAAGAATGACTGCCAGGGATGTGATTACACTTATAAAGTCAAAAATGAGAAAGAAAAACTCCATTGTTTATAATTGAATGTGTGATGCCCTTATTCCTAGAAGCCCTCGGACAGCCCACTGCAGGGACTTTTCACGGGCACCTTCAGCCCACAGAACTGCTGATCTCCAAACCATCTCTTGTGTTCTTTTTCTTCAAGGCACTTTCCCCCTTTCCAGCGCTAATCTGCCATCCTCACACCTCCAAACCATCCAGGTGCTGAACAGGGCAAGAGCCTTCTTTTAGCAGAAGGAAACTGTACACAACAATTGCCATCCTCCATTATATTCCCATTTTGCAGAGGGGGAAATGGAGGCTCAGAGAGGTCAAGTGGCCATGCCTTGTCCTCCCCTGTAAGTCAGTAGTATCTGGAGGACAGGGGCCCTGCCTTCTATGACTGTGGCTTCTCATTCTCAAGACTGGCTCAGTAATGGGCACACTGGCTCTGGGATGTGTCCAGTAGGGAGGGTTGCCTGGCACCAAGGAAGGAGGCTAATACGTATAGAAGTTATAGGTGCCTGGGTGCCCCTGAGATTGGGGTCCAGGCATGGGTATTCTTAACAGGTTCCCTGGTGTTAATGCTGCTAGGGCTGAGGAGTGCGGTCCTGGGCCAAAGCTGACCCCATCTCATCCTCAGCCATAGACCTGTGTGCTGAAGGGACCCATGGCTGTGACCACCACTGTGTCAGTTCCCCTGGCTCCTATTTCTGTCGTTGCCGAGCAGGCTTTGTTCTCCAAGAGGACCAGAGGAGCTGCAGGGGTGAGTAAGTCCCAGCTCCTGCCACCCACCGGCCCCCTGGACCGAGGCCTCTGGTGGCTCTGATCAGAAAGGACATCCTGGTGTTTCTTTGTCCCCTTCAGCCATTGACCACTGCGGCTTTGGGAACCACAGCTGTGAGCACGAGTGTGTCAGCACTCTCGGTGGGCCACGGTGTCGCTGCAGAGAGGGCCACGTTCTGCTGCCCGACGGGAGGACCTGTCAGGGTGAGGGCGTCCTGCATTTTGGGGAGGGGCAGGAGACCTTATCTGGCGCCAGCACCCTGACTCATCCTGTCTGTCTCTCTTTTAAGTCAGGGACCTTTGCAATGGTGTCGACCACGGCTGCGAGTTCCAGTGTGTGAGCGAGGGGCTGTCCTACCGCTGCCTGTGCCCAGAGGGACGGCGACTCCAGGCGGATGGCAGGAGCTGCCTCCGTGAGTCAAGGGTGTGAGAGAGCTTGGTCTGCTTCTGCCCCCTGCCCCCTGCCCGTCCTGAGCACTGTTGCTTTGCGTCTGCTGGGGTTCAAGGACGTGTGGTGTGCCTGTTGGGGGTGGGGGTTCCCGCGCCCTGTCTCCCAGCCTTCTCCTCAGTCTTCTTTCCTGCTGCCAAGGTTAACTTAGGAGTCTGTATTGGATCAAATTCTTCCTTGGTTTAAAATCCCTCTGTGGCTCCCCAGTGCCTACAGAATAAAGGTGCAATACCTTACCCCTGAGCTTTTCAAATGGCGAGTACAACCACATTAGTGGATGATGAAATCAAATTAGTGGTTTAAAACCAGCATTTAAAAAGGAGAATGGATGGGAAAATAGAGTTCCCTGCATGTAGAAAGAGTAAGTATTGTTTCACGAAACTTTGGTTACATGAAGTGCGTCATGATGTAGTATTATTATTATTGTTTTTTTTTTTTTCTTACTGTGGGTTGTGGTCAAAATTTTGAAACTACCACTTAAGTCATCACAGTCTGGCTTCAGCCAAGCCCATCAGCCTGTCTCCTGCCACACGCAGACATTTTAGTCATGCTGGCCTGCCCCTTCCTCAATGTGTTGAGAACTTTTCAGCAATCATGCTTCTGCATTGCTGTTCCCACTTTCTAGACTATTCTATCTGCCTTGGCAAACTCCATCCTCCTAGTCCTTCAAGACTGTCCTGGTCCATATGGGCTGCTATAACAAAGTACCATAGACTGAGTGGCTGTCTTCATCTGCTTTGTGTTGCTATAACAAAATACCCATGGCTGGGTAATTTATAAAGAAAAGAGGTTTATTTAGCCGACAGTCCTGGAGAGTCAAGACATGGTGCTGGCATCTGCTTGGTTTCTGATGAGAGCCTTCCAACTGATGGCATCATGTGTCAGGAGCTTTTATGAGAGTGCTGGTTGGGCAGGTGGAGGAGATCAAAGACATGGGGTGGACTTATTTTATAACTATTTGCTGTCAATAATAATCTAGTCCCTTGAAACCCTAACTCATTCTGTTGAGAGGGCATTCATCCCTTTCTAGGGTAGTGCCCCCGTAACCACATTACCTCCTACTAAGCCACACCTCATCAGGGTTCCACTGCCTCCCAATATTGTTATATTGGGAGGCCAAGCTTCCCGTACCTGAACTTTGTGGGACAAACCATATCCACCCCACAGCAGGGGCTTAAACAACATTTATTTCTCATAGTTCTGGAGGCTGAGGAGTTCAAGACCAAGGCGCTGGCAGATGCGGTGTCTGGTGAGGATCTGCTTCCTGGGTGGTAGATAACATTTTCTCTCTAGGCCCTCACATGGTGGAGGAGAAGGAAGCTCCCCTGAGACTCTTATCAGACACTGATTCCATTTCTGAGGGCTCTACCCTCATGACCTCATCTAATCCTGATTGCCTTCTGAAGACCCCAGCTGTTAAGGTCATCACACTAGGGGGTGGGGAGACACAATGGTTCAAGGCAGAAGAAAGATCAAGTCAAAAGCCATCACCTCCATGCAGCCTTCCTCAACCCCCAGGAAGGAGGAATTGCCCCCGCCCTTCCCCTCTATCTAGAACCTTCCTCAACGTAGCAGACTGCACGTCTGAGTTGCTCTGCTCTAGCCTGATTGCCTCATGGATTGGGATTACGTTTTCTTTGTTGAACCTCCTCAGTGGCCAGTGACGTTCCTGGTTCTGAATAGACAGGGTAGGCGACACTGTAGAGCAATCAGGAGCAGGAGTTTGGGGGTCAGACAGACCTGGCTTCAAGTCCCAGCTCAGTGACTGCTAGCTATGGAATCTGAGGAGATCCCACTCTATCCTCCAGAACCTCAGGTTATAGAAAATGGGGATAAAACTCAAGGTGATCAGGAAGTTTGAGAATATACATATGGTATTGAGGACACACACACACACAATCAGCCAAGTGCCTGGTACACAGTAAGCTGTCAATAAATAATGTTTTTATTAATACTGGTGTGGTGCTTAGAATTGTGCCTGATACATAGCAGATGCTCAGGAAAGGGTAGCAATTGTGGTAATTATTATTATCTTTTAAAAAGAAGCTTTGCTGGGCATGGAGGTGCATGGCTGTCATCCCAGCTTCTCTGGAGGCTGAGGCAGGAGGATCACAAGTTCAAGGTCAGCCTGGCAACTTAGACTCTATCAAAAAGAAAAGAAAACAAAAAATTTACTCCTAGTTACTCAGGAGGTTGAAGTAGAAGGATCCCAAGTTTGAGGCCAGCCTAGGAAGTGGCGGCATTTCTGTCTCAGAAAAGGAGGGGCTGGGACTTAGCCCAGTGGTAGAGAGCTCCAGCTTTCTGAGGCTCTGGGGTCAAACCCTAGTACCGCCCCCCACCCAAATGATGTTGGTGATTTACCGTACTGTCAGGCACAGCTGAACTCGGTCAATGTGTTATAAAGTGAATGAATGGCCAGGTGGGTGGTGGTGGCGGTGGCAGTAGTGGTCATGGTTGTTATCATGATTGCTATTGGTAGTCAAGGACTGGCCTCTCCATCCAAGCCTTCTGGCTGTGCAGGGTGCCGGGAAGGCCACGTGGACCTTGTTCTGCTTGTGGATGGCTCCAAGAGTGTGCGCCCACAGAACTTTGAGCTGGTGAAGCGCTTCGTGAACCAGATCGTGGACTTCCTGGATGTGTCCCCTGAGGGCACGCGCGTCGGGCTGGTTCAGTTCTCCAGCCGCGTGCGCACCGAGTTTCCGCTGGGTCGCTACGGCACCGCCGCCGAGGTGAAGCGGGCAGTCACGGCTGTTGAGTACATGGAGCGCGGGACCATGACCGGCCTGGCGCTTCGCCACATGGTGGAGCACAGCTTCTCGGAGGCACAGGGTGCCCGGCCTCGGGCCCTCAATGTGCCTCGAGTCGGCCTGGTCTTCACGGACGGGCGCTCCCAGGATGACATCTCAGTGTGGGCAGCGCGCGCCAAGGAGGAAGGTGGGCTTGGCTCGGGGGAGACTGGGCTGGGGTGCGGAGGGCGCGAGGCCTGGGGCGCCCCCTGAGTCCGCCGGTCCGGTAGGCATCGTCATGTACGCCGTGGGCGTGGGCAAGGCCGTGGAGGAGGAGCTGCGCGAGATCGCCTCGGAGCCCGCGGAGCTGCACGTGTCCTACTCCCCGGACTTCAGCACCATGACGCACCTGCTGGAGAACCTCAAAGGCAGCATCTGCCCCGGTGAGCACCTCCACCTCTTCTTTCCCTCCCCTCACTCTTCCCCACACCAGAGGGACAGCAAGGGGTGGGCTCACCAGACACAGCCTGGCTCCTTAAAGCGTGGCCCTCCACCGCCGCACGGCAGGCACCTGAAGGCTTGTTAGAAATGCAGTAATTCTAGGCAGTCTCCAGACCCAATGAATCACCGTTGGCCCTTTAACAAGACAAAGCCGAAGAAGCACTAAACTAGGTCACCTTTCCCCCAGATTACAGTGTTCAGAATAATTTGGGAAAACTTTCAAAGGCACGCCAAATTTAACATTTGTAAGTGGAGCTACAACACGTATCCCTTGAACTTGTTGGAATTCAATTTTATGGACTTGGCCAAGCGGCAGGACTGAATGTTTTAAGTACACAAAGACATGTACTTCTTGGACGGCGTAGCCCATAAATGTAATCCATCTGCTTCATTCAGTCCTCAGCAGAGGGAAAAGGGACCACTCTACCTGTGGGGGAGCAGGGGCCGGGTGAACCCTGTGGGCATGCCTTACAGATGGTATATAGAATTTCTTGGAGGTAGTTGTCACCACAGGGGTTTTAGACTAACCAGGCACAAGGTGTGATTCTTCTTTTAGATTATCAGGTTCTGAGGGCAGGGCTGAGCCTGGCGAGTATGTGTGTACATTTCTCTCTTCTCTCTCTCTCTCTCTCTCTCTCTCTCTCGGCTAATTCTAATAATTATACGGAATATTGCAGGGCTACTGAATTAGCTGCTCTTTTACGCCCCTTCCATTCCTGACTTTTACACTCCTACGGTCCCTTACACCCCACTCCCCACCTTCAGGTTGCCTCCAGCTCTAGAGTTCTAAGTCTGGGCTCTGTGGTTGAGGCTGTTTCTTTAACCATTAGATGTATTAACCTTCCCCTTGTCTGATCCTTGTTTTCCCATATGCAAAGTTTTATGGCATGATGATCAGTTCCATCAATAACAGGACATATAGCAGTTTTCTAAGGATACAGAACTGAGATTAAAAGATAACCTTTAAATCACCAAAGCAACTCTTTATGAAATCTAAGTGCCAAGCATTTTGCTTACTACTTCATATTCTGTAAAATTGAAAATGGCACACAATGACAAAGTTTCAGTGAATCTTACTATGGTAAGATTTACCATTTTTATATACTATTAAGAAAAACAGGTGCAAATTTTAATTCTAAGGCTCTGCCCCTGAAAGACTGTGTAGGAAGATAGGTTTGATCAGTGGTTACTAAGCATTAGTGCACATCAGTCACCCTGGAGTGTTTTGTAAAAAAAAACTGCTGAACTCCAATTCCAGATTTTCTGGTGCAGTAAGTCTGGGTTGGACTCTGAACATTTGCATTTGTGACACTTTCCTAGGTGTCCAAGTTGAGGACCACTGGTGTGGTTGAAATACACTCTGAAGTGTTGACTTGTGTCAGGAGTTGTGCTTTCCAGTAAAGTAGCCAGTAGTTACATGTGTCTATTTAATTTAAAATAAACAAAACAAAAACTTTAGTTCTTCAGTGGCACCAGAAACATTTCAGACGTTAAATAGCCACATGTGGCTTGTGGCTACTGCATCAAACGGGACAGATATGGAATACTTCCATCACTGCATAATGTTTCATTGGAGAGTGCTTACTGCTCTGGACTCTCCACTCAAAGTGTGGCCTGTGGACCAGCAATACTGGCATCACTTGAGGGCTTATCAGAAATATAGATTCTCAGTTCCTCCTCCATTCTGAATCAGAATCTATGTTTTCACAAGCTCCCCTGATGATTCCAACGAGTAGTACAATTTGAGAAACTCTATTGCAAGTTGTGTGTACACACACACACACACACACACACCACTCTAAAATCATTGAACCCTCACAACCGCCAATGAACAGTTTTCTCATTGTATCCATATAACAGAGGAGCTAACCGAGCTTGGAGAGGTTGAATGAGTCTTCCAACACCTGACAGCCGTGTGGCTGGAACTCAGCCGAGGTCTGTCTGAATCCAAAGCCCATACTCAACCATATGCCCAGTGGAGGTAAACAGAGAGCCAGGGCCAGGGCCGGCTTGGCCTCCTGCAGTTTCTCTTTCCCCTGACTCTGTGCCCTACCTGCAGAGGAGGGCATCAGCGCTGGGACCGAACTGCGGAGCCTCTGCGAATGCGAGAGCCTCGTGGAGTTCCAGGGCCGCACGCTGGGGGCGCTCGAGAGCCTGACGCAGAATCATATCCTTTGGGGCCGGAGGCGTGGGCTGGAGGGAAGGTGAAGGGACCCAGCAACCCCGAAGGCTTCCTTAACCGCTCACTGGCCCAGTTGACAGCGCGCTTGGAGGATCTGGAGAATCAACTGGCCAACAAGAAGTGACGGCCGCTGGTGGCCTGGGCCGGGCTGGGGCGCAGCCTTGCGGACCGTGCTCCTAGCGCGCCGTCGGGGCGCCCGCGCCTGGCCGAATCCGGACCCCTTGGGCGGGGACCGTCCGTAGGAGGCGCTGGCGGGCTCCCAGCGCTGTGCCCGAGCTGGCCTCGCCTGGACCAGAAGCCAGACTTTGGGGGCCAGGGGGTGGCGGGAGGTGAGGGGGAGCTGAGCGTGCTAAACCGCATGCCCTCAACCGTGTGCTGCGCTCAGTTCTTTGTTGTATTTCTTTTTTATTTTCTTTTTCTTAAAAAAACAAAGCTGGTTTCCACGGGGTCGGTGTGTGGGCCTTGCTGTGCCGCCAGGAGGAGGGGAGGCCAGACGGAGCACGGCGCCCGGGTGGCGTCATCCTTGGAGAAAGGCGCATTGTGCGGGGGTCGGGCTGGGCGGCAGGGGACCCGGCTCTACTTCGCTCTACTTGTTTATTCAGCCCAGAACAGATGGCTCCTTATGCAGGATGCGGGAAGGGAAGGGGCTCAATGGCAACCGCTGGGGTCTGAGCAAGTCTGCACCCCCTCCCAACACGGCCTTAACGCAGCACTCTGGCCTGTGCCTATCTCCAGGTGCTTCCAAATCTGGCTAAAAGTCCAGGACTGGCGGGGGGGGGGGGTTGGGGAGGAGGTGGGAGTCAGTCACTGAACCCTTAGATGGGCCGAGTGGGGACCCACAGATGGGTTTTACCTGGATTTTATCTCTCCCTTGCACTAGGTGAGAAGAGAAGGAGGTATCAGCTAAAAATCCTGGCCCCACCTGGGGCCCTCCCTTTGCCATTCCCTGCAAGAAAGGAAACAAAGCAAGCCCCTCCATCAGTAACGAACACAAACTGGTACCATTTTGAGCAGCAGTTTAAACTTCGAGGTTTAAAGTGCTCCCAGCTCTAGAGTGATTTTACCCTGGGCACTTTGTTTTCTCCTTAGTAAAGTGAGAATTGAAATTGTTATCCCACCAAAGGTGATGAGACTCCAGGAAATTCCTCTAAGACGTTGACCCTGGGTCTGGAACATATCAGGCCTTTAATGAGAGCTAGCTATTAATTATACCTATAGTAGTAGCTAATAGCACAGTTAGTCTTGGGCACATTTCGATGGGTTTCCAGGTATTTTTATTTTATGCTCACAATGACCTTGTGGGATAAGAATTATTGCCTTTGTCATTCCTACTTTACAGATGAGAAAGTTGAGGCATAAGGAGGCTATTTCCCAAAGCCACATAACTAGGAAGAAGCTGAACCAGGATGTGTCTGTTTCCTATGGCTGCTGTAAAAAATCACCTCAAACAGAGGGGCTTAAAGCAACAAATCGCTGCCTTACAGTTCTGGAGGTCAGAAGTCTGATGGGTTGGCAGGGAGGGTGACACTGCTTCTGGAGGTGTGGGTTTCGAATTCCTTGGCTCATGGCCCCACATCCCTTTGACCTCTGCTTCCATCATCACGCTCCCTTCTCTGACTCTGGCGGCCTGTCTTAGGAGGTCCATTCTGGTAAATTACAGGTGACCCCCCTTCAAGCTCTTTAGTATGTAAGAGCACATATTTAATCGCAGGGTCCTGGGAGTAGGACGTGGACATCTTTGGGGGGGCATGATTCTGCCTCCCCCCAGGGATGAAGCCAGGCTGACTGACTCCAGAGCAGGTGCTTTGGAGCACTCCGTGCCTGGTCCAGTGCATTCTGGGTGAAGAGGGAGACACATGATTGAGAAAAGCCCTTGGGCTGGAGGACTCAGGGCTGAAGGGGGTGAAGTCCAGCTGACTACAGCTATAGCAGGAAGAGGGGGCTCCGGATGAGAGGGGTGAGCAATGGGCAGGTGAGGAGGGAGACACCTCGGGGGAGGTGACCTTTGGGCCACACCTTAAATGATGACTGGAATTCCACAGGTAGCCATGGAAGATTTTCCAGGTGCATGAAGCATGAATGTGTGTGGTCAGAAGTGACTGGAGTATGGGAGAGGAGGGTGATCGAGCTCTTACCTGGCCATGAGGATTGGATGAGCTGGCACCCTGTGGACAGCACCTGATGAGACCTCACCCTGCCCAATTCTTTCTTTTTCTTTTCCTTTTTTTATCTTTTTCTTTTGTGGTGCTGGGGATTGAAGCCAGGGCTTCGTACATGCGAGATAAGCACTCTACCACCCAGCCTCATGTCCAACTCTGCGTATTTTATTTTGAGACAGGGTCTTGCTAAGTTGCCCAAGCTGCTCTTGGACTTGTGAACCTACTTCCTCAGGCTTCAGAGTAGCTGGGATCACAGGTGCGCAACACCACACCTGGCTCCAACCCCTTCAGTTTACAGCTGGGGAAACTGAGCCCTAGAGGACAGAGTCAGTGGCCTTCTCAAGATTACAGTGAGAAGATGCCAGCTGGAGCATGGCGGGGGCTGGAGCTGAGCAGGGCTCACGGAGGAGGCCAAAGCAGGGCTCCTGCCTTCCCTGCTCCCTGCTGCCACTGCCCCGCCGTTTCAGGTTTCTTTTCTCACCTGCCCTGTTCTCCTGCAATCTCCCTAGTGGCCGCTGGATGGTGCCTGGAGCTCTGACTTGGAGCTGGGTCCCAGAGCTCTAACAGGTCCTGAAGAACCTGTCCTTCTCCCTATGACCATCTTCTACCTGGACACCAAAGGTTGAGAATAACAAGGATATCAGTGGGCCAGGGCAGAAGTTGCAGGGCATTCTGGGATGGAGGGTAGGCCTGGGGAAGACTGCTTGGTTCCCTCATGCTAAGACTCTTCCCCCAAATCCCTGCCTATCCTCCCAGTTGCTGGTCTTTGTCATCTCACTGCAGAATGGGAAACAACCTCACGTAGACCTTGGATACCTTGCAGGACCAGTCATCTGTGTGTCCCTCTCCTAGGGTACTTGCACTTCAGAAGTAGCCAGGAAAGAAGCAAGCAAGGTAGATCAAAGGGAGCACTGGTCATGTTGGGTTTTAGGCAGCTGAGGCCACGTACAGGGAGAGGTATGGGCTCCTTACATGACCTCAAGGCAACACTGTGAGGTTAGTGCCATCACTTTCATTCAGCCAGCTCCCGGATGTCCAGGCCTCCTCCCACTTGATCAGAGTTGTCAGAACTGGGAAGAGTGTTTGAGGAAAAAATGGAGGTCTTCACTTGACACCAGCTGCCTACAGGCTGAGCTTCTGGGAGAAGAGAGAGGAGTTGGGGAAGGACTGGCATGAGTGCGCTCTCCACTCAGCCGCATTCCAGGAGGGCAGGGCGGAGACAGTGGGTGTGTGAGCTGAGGAACAGTAAAGAGGATAGTGATGCTTACAGTCACGGTGACTAGTGTTTGGGGCAGTGCACAAGGTGATTTCCCATCATTTATAGCGGAGCCACACAACCACCCTGGGAGGAAGACAAGGCCACGTGGCTATGGCTCTTTCACAGAAGGGAAAATTCAGGGCCACAGAGGGATTGTGATTCACTCAAGTTTACATGTCGATATACTCCCGGTGCTGGGTGGGACCCACCTCCTGGCTCCCAGCTCGGGGACTTGCTGCCTCATATGGGCCACAGATGTGGCTGGGCACAGAATGGGGCCTTTAGCGGGACTGAAGCTCAGCCACGCTCCTTCCCCAGCCTCAAGCTGGCTGCCACGCAGAGGGTTTGGACTGGAGGTTTGGGATGTCAGAGGACAGGGAGGCTTGTTGGAGTGGGAGGATCAGCTGTGTGTCCTCCAGGCTTCCTTGGCCCATCATGCTGCATGACCTGTGGCTGCTGCCACCCCAGGAGCCCATTCCATGGCTCCTTCCCTCTATTGTGTGTGTGTGTGTGTGTGTGTGTGTGTGTGTGCGCGCGCGCGCACACCCATCTCTCCAAAGGCCCTCTCCCTTGCTGGTTCCTGTACACACCCTTCTTCCTAATCAGCCTCAAGCTGTGCGGCCCCTCTGCTCAGACCTCTGAAACAGACCTCCCTGGTGAGCACCCACCTGTGCCTGCTCCGCACAGGAGCTCTTGGCTCCGTTTCCATCTGAGCCACACTTGGACCCTTCCAGGTGCAGCTCATATTCCCCGGTACCTTCCCCTCTCTGTTTTTGAAATGAGTTGTGGCTCAGGGTTGAAGCTGCTTTCTGGATGCCACAAGGAAGGAGTGCTGTGACTTTCAGAGAGGGAAGCAGAACTATGTCACCTTAATTTGCCATCTTTAACCAGACGTTCTCATATTATTATTTTAAAATAAAAAGTCACTAGCTAGAATGTGGTCATGTTGCTGTGGACGGGGACTGCACCTGGGCCCTGGGTATTGGGGCCAAGTGCAACACAACACCTAATGCATACCATCCTTCTGTCATGTTTAATTTAAATATTTGTATCAAATATGGAAACCACAAAGTTGATCAGAAGAGTAGAAAGTAAAAACAGACATCAAGCAAACAGCACCTTTTACAGTGTGAGTGAATCAAAAGAGGCCCATGAGTTATTGGAAAGAATTCTGATGGCAACAGTATTCAATAGAAACTAGATCAAGACCCTAGTCACATTCCCCAACAGAAACAGAGGGTGTCACATCTGTTCCAAAGTTGCCTGTTGGAGGAGAGCAGGGGAGCTGAGATCTCTTTGTTCCCACTGTAATGTCTTCAGCTTTGCAACCCAGAAAGGAGTGTTCTTGAAATAGTAAAAATAAAATCAGTAATTAGCATGAAGTCTCATCTGCTTTTCCTCAACCCAAGATAGCAGATAATATTGATTATGCATCACATCAGCCATTCTACTAAGACATTTTATAAGAGGAATAAGCATCTTTTAAAACAATGGATACCCACTTCCATATTACTTTCTAAGAATGTGTATGTGTGCATGTTTCACCAATATGTACTTTAAGTAATTTCAAGGATGCAATGACTAACCTAGTAAGAGTCAAGGTTTCAGGACCAGGCCCAGGTAAATTTGAGTCCCATCTCTGCCACTTTCTAGCAGTATGATGTTGGAAAAATCCCTTGCAATCTCCCTGAGTCTCCATTTCCTTAACTGTAAAATAAGTTAAGGAACACCTCTGTTTATAAATCTCAACCCCAAAGGGATTAAATTACAGCATATAATTTACTACCTTATTCAGAGGGCAGTGGCAACAGCAGAGGTAACAACAACAAACACTTGTGTGGCTGCTGTGTAGGGGTCCTTGCTCATGGCCTTAGTTAATCCTCAGAACTGGCTCAGGAAGTTGGTGGTGTTATGTTCCCCATTGAACATCCACAAAGGGGTGAAGTTAAGACTTCAGTAAATGGAGGCAGAATAGGAGGGAAGAGGCTGGGGACTTGTAAGATCTTAAAGAGGGATTTCCTGGGATCTGG